CTAAATAGAAAATAAGGGAAAAAAAAAAAAAAACAGAATTAAAGAGAAAAAAAATTAAATGCTCTATTTCAAAAAGAAAATTTACAATATTACAAAACATGGGCAGTGGGTATCTGTGGGCTTCAGTTTTCAAAAACGGAATGCAGCATTGCTCTATTATTTTGAGGTTAAAAAATATAATAAAAATAAAATGAATAAAATGGACTGTTTTCAACGTGAAGGCAAAGAGCAGCCCATTCCTTACGCATGTGGCTGCTGTCCTCCCCAGACACGTGGCTCGTGGCACAGGGTCTCCCGCAGGTCCCAGCCTGGCCATGCGGTGCAGGACGTTCCCGCAGGGTCTGAGGAGGATGGAGATCCCGTCGGGATGGAGGCCCTGTCGGGATGGAGCTGCTAGTTACCGTGGCTGCTGACAGGCAAACCCGAACAGGCTCTGCCTCACGCTCCCAGCGCTACGGAAGGAGGAACAGGCAGAGAAAAGGAGTTCATTCAATTGCGTCCGCTTGGCAGGACCTACAGCATACACAGGGAGAAGTGGAGAGCCAGAAGTTGCCGTTTTTAGCCTTACATAAACCAGGTCGTTGCCATCAAGGTGCTCCTGGGGCAACTCTAACCGTGGGGACCTATGGTGCTGCTGCAGCTGGGACAGGTCTCAAGCAGCTTTGAGGGTGGGTTGGCTCCTGAAAAATTAGCCTGATATTAAAAATATTGAAGCTACTGGTGACAAAGGAGGTGACAAGGGACCGGTTTCCACCCACCAGGGCCATGCTGGGCCAATGCGTGCCCAAGCTCCCCACCAATTGTCCTGAGCTCCCCTGCAATTCCTTCAGGGCTCCAAAACCTGCCTCTGTGGCACGTTATCCCAAAAAGTTCATTATACTGAATTTTGTATTGAAAAAAAAAATAAAAACAAAAAAAAACCCCACACACATGCTTAAAATAACCTGCCTCCATAGACACAGCGACAGGCGTGCAGGTCGGTGATCGGGATGGGTCTCTGGTCTGGAGGGACCCAGCGCCTCTGGCCCGGCCAAGGGCCCTCGGCGGCCGCCATGCAAGCCCTGGGGAGCAGGGGGGGTCACCTGGGGGCTGCAGCTGCCCCCCCGGCTCCTGCAGTGCCCACCGCGACCCTTGGGACACCCCCGGGCCCATGCAGACACCCTGCACCACGGAGGAGCCCATGAAGCCCCGCAAAGCGCCCCCAAATTCCCCGGGGGGCACGGAGGGTAGCTGGTGCGGGACGGGCAGCGCAACCCTCTCCTTAACGGGCCCTAGCGCTCGCACAGGAGCTAAGGGAGCTGCAAGCGGGACCTCTTCCCCTCCCCAGCCCCCAAACCGGTTTTCCCTTTGGTTTGGAGGAATTGGTTGCTCCAAGTGGTTGCTCCTTTCGTTGCTTGCAAATACGTCCCCCCCTCAAAACAACAACAACAACAACACCCTCTGCCTGCGCCCGATGCAAAGCGAGCTCCGGCCCAGCGCCTCGGCACCCGCCGGGGCTCCGCAGCACCCCCGGCCCAAAAAGGAATAAAAAAACTCCCATAAACAAGCAAGGCGGCGTAGAAATCAAAGCCACCATTTCAGAGGGAGCTCGGAGCGTAACGCTAACAACTTTCGGCAGCTTCCACTGCGGAGTTTAAGCAGCTGCCACGTTAAATAACGAGGGGGATCCGAAGTTATCTGCCAGCGGAGCAGAAACGCCCCGCGCCGAGGGCCGGGGGCGGCTCGGGGGGCAGCGGAGCCGCCGCTCGCCCGGGACCCCCGCGCGCACGAGGGGCTGCGGCAGGGGCGGCCGGGCCGCGTTTCGAGGTGTCCCCCCCGCGATGTGTCCCCAGCTGGGGCTGGGGGCGAGGCGGGCACTACACGGAGGCGGGCAGCAGAGCGGCGCGCCCGGCGCCCGCGGCCCCCGCACCCGCTCGGGACGGGACCCGCCACTCGTTTGCGTGGAGAGGCAGCGGCACAAAAATAAGAGCGGGGCGAGCGCCACGAGGGGCTTTTCCACAAGCTCCTTTCAAGAAGACGAAGAAAAAAAAAATCCTCAAACCGTTTCTCGCGTCCCAGTGTCGGGGTGAAGGGTTAAAACGGGAGAGACGAGAGCCGCTGCGGTCAGCGGCTGGGGCAGCTCCATCCAACTCCGTCGTTTTTAATGCGCTTCCCGGACCGGCGCGAGCAGAATCGATGGAGACGGCCCCCAGCTGTGCCTAAACCTGCGATTTCAATTAAAACGCGGAGCCCCGGGGCGTACCGCTCAGCCGCGATCCCCGGCCCGGGACCCGGAGCGGCTCCGGCTCCGGTCTCGCTTTCCTCGCGGGCCCAGGGCTGCCGCAGCCGCCCCCGCAGCTGCTCCTTTCCCCCGGGTCCGGAGGAAGCGGGATGCGGCCCGGGAAACACGCGAGGCAGGAAACACGCCGGGAAGGGCGAGCGCAACGCGGGGAAGCTGCCAGGGGGCTCCCGGTCCTGGCTCTGCAGCCCTCTTTTATCCCGCCCGAAATCATCTCGTTTACAGAAAATATTTGTTTGCACTATTAGTTGGTACTGGAGTTAATTACTCAACGTGTGAGCGGGGAGTAATATGGATAAAAGCAGCCCCAGTGTTTATTGTGTGGGTGAGCTGTTGAGCGGTGCTTGAATAAACTGCAATTAGGGTTAGATAGAGATTAATTAACATGTGAGTGGCAAGGTGTAAAATAGTTCCCAACCCTCCACTCAGTATAATCTGCAGGCGAGGAAAAGAAGTTTGTGGAGGCTAATTAAATACTTGGCTAAAGGCAGCGAGCCCCGGAGCGAGCGGAGCCCCGCGGAGGCCAAACCGCGGGCACGGGGCTCTCCGCACCCTGAGCGGTCCCGCAGACTCCCCTGCGGCCCTCAACCCACCTCCCCCCCCAAGAAAAAGAAAATAAAAATAGACCTCCCCCCCAAATGGGGCATTTTCCCTCCCCTCGCTGTCGCAGCGAAGCCAGGAGGTTGGCGCTTTGGGGACGGCGACACCTGATGCTCCAAGTGGAGAGACACCCCCTCCCAAAAAGAAAGCTGCCCCAGGTGGGTCCCCCCCTCCTCGGGGCACCCCCGGGCGCCCCCCGCCGCCTCCTGCCAAGGGGGTCTCGGCGGCGCGTTGAGCTCCGCAGGTGGAAAATCCGGGGACAGGAGGCGCTGCTTTGTCACCCGCGCGCCGCATTCCTCCAAACTTTCTTAGGCGGGCTAGAAAAGCGGGAAAAAAAATATATAGGGGCCTTTTCATCGCTTGCTTTACCTCAAGGCTCGAGCTAAACCCTTCGTCGTTCCCCCCCCTCCCTTTTTTTCCCCCCATCCTTCCCCCGGATAATCCCCCTCTTTATTTTAGAAACGCACAAAACCCGGTTCCACGCAGCGCTATAGTGGCTGCGAGTGAAAGGGAAGGGATCGCGCCGAACCGCGGCGGGGAAACCGCTTGCGGTGAATAGCGAGGGCCGGGGGGGTTCCGCGGCCGCCCCCCGCCCCGCGGCAGCTGGAAACGGGGCGCCCTCCGCGTGGGCGCCTTCGCTCCGCGCAAGTCCCGCAGCCCCCCGTTTCCTTAGGGGGACCAACGGGAGAAACCCCCACAGCCGGTTGCGACCCGGAAAGAGGAAAATAAATAAATATATATCTATGTTAAAAAACGGGGGACACACACACGAAAATGGTTGGAAAGGAAAGGATATTCACCCGCTTGCACGCCCAGAAAGTCGGGCGCTTTGGAGGGGCGACAATTTGCCAACCTCGCGTTCGCAGAGCACGGCGGCGGGTTTTATTTTATTTTTATTTACCAGCGAAAACCTCGGACTCGTCTCTCTCCGCGTTTATTTAAGGCTAATCACCAGCCACTCTCATAAGGGAGGGGGGGTGGAATTAAACTTAGTTTAATTAACATTAATACACTGTCCTAATTAATGGGTTGGCTATTAATTTATACATGCTGGGGAGGTTCGCAGATAAGTGACAATTTATTAATTATCTTCCAGCTCGGTTGCAACGGAGCTGATTGCAGATGGGTTGCCAAAATAACTCGAGCATGGTTGCGTGGTAGTTGCTTTAGGAAAAAAAAAATCATTCTCCCCCTTCTTAAAAAAAAAAAAAAAATCCTCACGCTCATTCCGAGTGGCTCTTGTAACCCCAGCAAGAACTGGAGCGCTCTTTTCCACCCAACTTGTGAATCGCACTTGCCTTCTAATTTGCCACATGCAAAACGATTCCTCTGCTTTGCAAGTTGCTTTTTAAGAAGGGAGAGAGAGGGGGGGGGGAAGAAAAAGAAAGAAAGAAAAAAAACCCCAGCTCGCACACGAGCGATTCTGTGCGTCTTAAACTGGAAGGAAATTGTGCGTGGAGAGGGGAGAGGGGGGGGCTGCTTTTCCTCTCTCTGCCCCAACCCACTGAGCTCCAGCCCGGCGCCTCGGCTCGGGGAAGCTCCATGGTGGCATTCCCATGTCATTCTGCTCCAAGTGACTTCATGTGATGTCAGCTTTAAATGTACGAGACAGGGATCTGACGCTCGGGAAGATGTTGGCTATCAAAATGTGACTGTGGCCACGCCGCGCTGCTTGGATGCGTCTCCTCGGCGCCGGGCAAAGGTAACGCGTCCCAACGGGAGCCCAACTTCATTTCCCGACCCCCCTGTCCCTCCCGGACCGCGGCGAGCAGCGGCGCTGGGCTGGGGGGCGCTTTTTTTTTTCCCCTCTTTTTTCTTCTCTCTCTCTTTTTTTTTTTTTTTTTTTTTTTCTTTTTTTTTTTTTTTTTTTTTTAATACTAACAAGGTCCGGCTTGCATGTTTCTTGGGCGCGCTCCGCTTAATGAGCGGTAATCTGGTACCCTCCGTGCCATTGTTCTTGGCTATGTTCATTTGAATGTAAATAGGGAGGGGGGCGATGGAAAGGGGGGGTGGGGGGATGAGAGGGGGGGCAGAACAAGGTGCTTATTAAATTGATTTGTCCCGTGGCTTTTCCGGAGCGCAGAGCCGCGCGCGGGAGCGAGGTCCCGCCGGGCGCAGCGCCATGGCGAGCTCGGCGCCGCTGGGGACGGTGATGGGCGCGTCGTGCCGCGGCGGCGCCGCTAACCCCGCCAAGAGCCTCGCCTTCTCCATCGAGCGCATCATGGCCAAGACGTCGGAGCCCAAGGCGGCCCCGGAGCCGCGGCCGGGCGGGCCGGAGGCGGACAAGAAGACGCCGAGCCTGTGCTCACCCCTTCCCTGCGTGATCCCCATCCCGCCGCTCGCCTACGAGGTGCCCCCCAAGACTCTGCTCAACTACTCGGAGCTCTGGAAGAGCAGCGCGCGCGGCGGCGCGGGGCTCTGCAAGGCCAACTGCGGCGTGTGCTGCAAGGCAGAGCTCGCGCTGGGCCCGCCGGGCGGGCGGCTCGTGAAGCCGCAGGTCATTCACCAGGCGGGGGCCATGCCCGCCGCCCCCCGCTCCCTCTACTACTTCAACTACCTGGACGGCGCGTACCACCCTGCCGACCTGCTGCACGGACAGCTCTTCCCCTCGGGCCTGCTGGGCGGCCCGGCGCCGGGCGGCCTCGCGGCACACCACAAGCTTTTCCTGCTGGAAAACGCCAAGCTGGCCGGGCTGGCGGCCGAGAAGCTGCCGCCGCCGCCTCCGCCGCCGCCTCCGCCGCCTTTCGCGCACAAGGAGCGGCTGCCGGGGCACCTGGACCAGGTGATGAAGGAGGCGGCAGAGCGCGGCGGTCCCAAGGGCCACCCCAAGCTGGGCGGCGGAGGCGGCGGGGCCGAGGGCAAGCCCAAAAACTTCACCTGCGAGGTGTGCGGCAAGGTAAGGGCCGAGCGGGGAGGGGTGTGTGTGTGTGGGGGGGGTGTTCGGGGTGTCCCCCGCTTTCTCCCGGCGTGTGTAACCCAGCTCGCCCCGCAGGTCTTCAACGCGCACTACAACCTCACGCGCCACATGCCCGTGCACACGGGCGCGCGGCCCTTCGTGTGCAAGGTGTGCGGGAAGGGCTTTCGCCAGGCCAGCACCCTGTGCCGCCACAAAATCATCCACACGCAGGTAGGTGGCGGCCGAACCGCTTCTCCTACACCTCCGACTCCCCTCACACCTCCCCGAAACCCCAACGCTTCCCTTAACGCTCCCCTCACGGGCCCGTCGCTCCGCAGGAGAAGCCGCACAAGTGCACGCAGTGCGGGAAGGCCTTCAACAGGAGCTCCACGCTCAACACGCACATCCGCATCCACGCCGGCTACAAGCCCTTCGTGTGCGAGTTCTGCGGCAAGGGCTTCCACCAGAAAGGTGAGCGGGGCCGGGCCGAGGCCGTCATTAGCGAGGATTAATTGCGGCGCGGGCAGAGCGGTCCCAATTACCGGCCCCTTCAGCGGGGCCAGCCTGCGCTTCTCCTTTAAATGCTTTTTAAGTGAGCGGTGCCGGGCCCCGCTCCTAATCCCGGGCCCCGCATTTGCCGCGGGTCACCACGCTCGCCCTGCGTCGTGTTTGCGCTGCACCCCTTGCGCGCTGCTCCGCGTACCGAGTGTGACAAGTTCGGCGGGGGGGGGGGGCGCGAGGACACTTCTTAGTGCCCCCCGTCCTACCTGTGCGCGCTACGGCCCGAGCACCCCCGGGTAACCGTAATTCCCTCCCCGCTTCTCCCATCCCGCAGGCAACTACAAGAACCACAAGCTGACGCACAGCGGCGAGAAGCAGTACAAGTGCACCATCTGCAACAAGGCCTTCCACCAGATCTATAACTTGACTTTCCACATGCACACCCACAACGACAAGAAGCCCTTCACGTGCGTCACGTGCGGGAAAGGATTTTGCAGAAACTTTGACTTAAAGAAGCACGTCCGAAAGTTGCACGACAGCGTCTCCAGCGCAGCGCCGCCGCCGCGGGACCCTGCGCGCAGCGGCCAGAGCTAAGGGCCGCCCCGGACCTGCTCCTCCAGGCCAGCACTATTTATCCAAAGCAGCCTTTGCTTTTTTTTTTTTTTTTCTTTTTTTTTTCTTTCTTTTTTTTTTTCCTTTCTCCCCAGCGGGCTCTGCCGCGAGCGCTCCCGGCCGCACTTGTACATAAGAGGAATCGTATTTAGCGGCGCCGCGCTGCGCTGCGGAGCCGAGCGGCCCTCGAGGGCGCGGGGCTGGCGGCCCCCGACGCCCCTCACACGTGTCTGTAAATCTCCATTTTAAATGTACGCTCGAATAAGTGAGGAATATATATATATAACTATATCTATATCATGGGACAATAAAGCGGCCCCTTCGTAGCTGTCTCATTTCCCACCTGGGCTCCAGCCCGAGCCGGGACCGCGCTCACACAGGCGCTGTCCCCTTGTGTCCCAGGATCCCGGCCGAGCCCGGGGGGATCCAGAGGAGGGAAGGGGGCGGCGGCGGCTCCGGACTCGGCGCTTCCCGCCACCGCTTCGCGGGGTCCCCTCGTTAAGACGCGATGGGGCCGCCCCTGAGCGCCCGTCCTGCCCTGCATGCAGATGAAATGATCTCCGCTCGCCTCCTGACTAATGACCCAAATTAAGAGGGGAAAATACAGGCCCTTCGAACCGCATTACATTAATCTAATCACTCCCAGCAGGCCGCAGAAACTCTTTTTGATCAGAATATGGATAATCAAGCACTTGGACTACACTAAATATTCCCTTCTTGTCCCTCCGGCTCCCCTGTTTTTAATGCGTGAGTGTCTATTTCGGCCACGTCGTTAGCAGCGATGTCACCCCCGCGGGCTGGGGGCTCCCAGGGAGGCGCGGAAGCCGCGCGACACCGAGGGGCTGGGGACGCGCTAAGGGGACACTCGCCCGTCCCCAGTTCCTCTGGGGATTAAGCGGACGGGGAGAAGCGAGGCCGGGCGGCGTGGGAGCAGAGAGGGAGCCTCGCCCGCTGCAATTACACCTCGCTCGAGTTGCATTTAGTATTATTATTATTATATATTTTTTAAAAGTGCCAAAAGTTTCTTTTGGATGGTCTGGGCCGGGTGAGGTGCAGCGAACGGCGCTCATTGATCCCGGCAGCGGGGATAGATGCTGCCGGCGTTAGCTGAAAGATTGAGGTGGAGAGTTGCGACTTGAAGGGTTTGTTTTTCTTTCTCACTTTTCTTTTCTTTTTTTTTTTTTTTTTAATTTATTATTATTAATGCTGCTGTTATTGCCACAAGTCGCTGACGAGGAGCGAAGTCCCTTCTGCTCATCCCGTTGCGAACCGGGCGCGAGCGGCACCGCGGGGACGACGGGGACAGCGGGGAGGGACCCGCCAGCCCCGCGGCGGGACCCGCTACGTGGCCGCAACGGGGAGCGCGCGGAGCGGGAGGGAAGCGGCGCTTCCTCCGCACCCCGCGTTGCTCCGCGGGGCGCAGGTCCCGCTCCTTGACGCTACGCGCGCTCTAATTTTAAAGCGGGACTTTGTCCCGGCGCTGCCTCTGCGGGGACCCCGCCAGCCCCGCACACTCCAGGTACCTCCTCCCTCCCAAGACGTCTCTGTTGCCCGCGGCTGCACTCGCCGCCAGCGCAAAACCCGCGCAAAACCCGCGCACGGCAGCGCCAGCAGCAACCAGGGGAGAAAGGGGGCCGGGTTGGAGGTGTCTCCGTGCAGGGCTCGGGGAGGGAGAGGAGGCACCACAGGGCCGCCCCCTGCCCAGCCCCTCGGCGCGGTGAGGGGCGCCGGGCCCGCAGCCCCGCGCTGGGGAGCGGCCGCGTTGCCCTTTTCCCTGCACTCCGCTCTCCAAACGTCTGAGCAACCGGTTTGCTGCTAGAAACATGTTAATTGCCAGCGGAGCTCATTAAGGCATGCACATGCAAAACACAGCGAGGGAGATTAAATGGACAAAAGCGCAATAATGAACTGTCAACAATCGGACCCATCTACACGACCAGGAGCACTCAAGAATGAGGCATTTAGAGGCAACAAAGGATTGTCTGGGACAGGAAGAAAGGACGACCTAGACTTTTGTTTAGTCAACACAATTGATTACAAATGAGAGATTAACAGGATAGCTTCAGAGTTTTTTTGAAGGAGGCAGAAGAGAAAAGTCCAATTAAGTGCACCGAATGTTAACTACATTGATTTCCACGGCCAGCCCTAGAGAAATTCTCATTAAACCATCCCTGGCGATCCCTTTTGGAAAGTAATTTGTCTCCCTGATGGAGCAGAGAAAGGGAGCCGTGTAAAGAGAAAGAAGCGCTAGTTCTTGGCACAATGAGCTTAGGAGACACACTGGAAAGAGCCAAAGGGGGAGTTAATGAGCATCTGACAAGCCGCTTGGACCCGGGCCTGGAGAGCAGCGATGAAAAGATGGAATTGGCCAACAACTATTCTTTATATCAAACATAAAAAGGCCAATCTGAAACAGGGCTGCTCAAAGCTGGTGGGGAAGAGAAGAAAGGCCCCGCCGGGGGGTGGAGCGCAGGGCCCGGCCGCCCCGTTGGGACGCGGGGGGAGAGAAACGCGCAGCCGCATCCCCCTGCCCAGGGGAGCCCCAGGCCGGGTGACCCCCTCTCCGACGGCCTCGCAGCCCCCCGGGCCGTCCCGAGCCCGCCCGGCCTCGCAGCCCGCGGACACTTGCAGCCGCCCCGGGCACCTCGCGCAGGTTGATGCGGCCAAGAGCCGCCCCTGTCCCGCTGCGGACGGGACTCGCCCGGAGGAGGCTCTTAAATCAGCTTAGAGCTCGTTAATAACAATTTTGGCTTAAGTCTGTATTGACTCAGGTTTAGGAAAGGCTTAGCACTTTCGCTTAAGTCAACACGAGGGTTGCAGCGGCACAGGCCGCCCAAGGGCCGCCCCGCTCCGCCCCCGCGTGTCCCGCACGAGGCCGTCCCACGCGCGGAGCGGCCGTGCGAGGCCCCTGGTCCCTTCCCCACCTCCCGCCTCTGCCCCTCGCACCTCACGTCGAGGCGCTGGTTGCTCCTCGCTCGCCCGCGCGCTCCGTGTGGCAAGATGGGGAGCCCAACAGGTGACTTAAATTAAAACTAAAAGAGGGAGGTGCTCAGGGGCGCCTGGGCGCAGCTCTGAGGTTTGGGAAGCACCCCGGCAATCGCGCGTCCCGTCACGGGAGGAGCCCGGCTGCCCCCAAGGGCCATTTCGTCCCCACCGAGCAAAATAAGGGAGGGCAGGGAAAGGAAGGGCCTGTCATAGAGCTCGGGAGCAAGGTCACAAAGCCCGGAACGAGGCAAAACGGAGCTTACAAAAACCGCGTCCTTTGCTGCCTCTCGAGCTTGCAGGAGATGCGACCTTCTGAGAAACTTTAGAAGCGCTCTGGTCTAAAGAAAAAAAAAAAACATACATATTTATATACACACACACACACATACTTATAGGTCGGCGGGCACAGTTCGCACCTCGCTTCCCTCACACGTCTCCCCGGGGCGAGCGGACCCTCCCTCGGTGCCACATGAACAGGAGCTTTCTGGTTTATAACCAGCCTTCTCCTTGGGTTCACTGTGTGAACGAAGGGAGGAATCCGCAGCGCTGGATGATCGCGTCGCTGAATGGATCCAGCCACAGAGAGCTGGGGGTAGGAGGGAAGAGCCAAATGCACCCGGAAGGTTAACGAAAAGAAACGCCCGAGAAATCCCAGAAAGTGGATGAAATTGTTTAAACTTATTCTAAATAGCATCTGCCTGAGGGAAAAGCGATTGTTTCATTCAGGCACAAAACCTATATATATATTTTTTTTAACTCTTATGGACTTACGGATATATTCTCTATAGTCACGATTACTATTACAAATTCTCCCAAAGAAACCCACAAGCAGCGAAGCTATCGCTTCCTAAGGGATGAAGAACACGTAAAGTGATCAAGAAAGCCTAAAATGATGAATACATAACTGGTTTCAGTCTACTTGTTCTCCCGCCGCTGCCTGACGACGCTCAGACGCCTATGAACCGATCAAGTGTCTCCTTTTTGTCCCCTCGTGTAGGTTTTCCTCGCGCTCAGCGCGATCTTACTGTCAAAATGGAAAATAACTGAGAAATGTTCCTTTTTTATCCCCCCTTTGAGCAATTCTATCGTCTCAGAAAAACCGCCTGGAAGAAAAAAAAAAAAGAAAAAAAAAGAAAAAAAATCATGTCCAAACTAGATAAGAAACGCGTGAAGAAACGCGAGTATGCGAACGAAAAATTCTCTTTTCCAACACCACTGGGCGACAAGTACTAATTTATTGCGACTTTCCACTACGCACTGGCCAAGGAGAGTAACTTACTTAAACGACGGCAAATTTTACTCTTTTTATTTTTTTTTTTTTGATTAATTTGCAATATATTTGTAAAATGATCTTAAGGCAGCTGTCTCTGCTTGAATCTGTTTCAAAAGTGTGATGTAAATAGTGTCTCACACTGTTCTGCAGCCTATTAGGGCTTTCTGGTAGGTGATACGACTGGGAGTCAGGACACCACACGTTTATTTTTAAGATCATCGTCATCACTACTGATAAAACTTACGGGAAGGAGTGATCGTACTTCCTATGTGCATGTATCAATGACAAAACACGGAAAATAACTTTAAAAAAAAAAAGCTGGAAGGCTGTAGAGAAAACAGGTAGAATTTACAGCGTTTTCAAAAGCCATCTCAGCTAAGTTTGAAAGGAATAGCCAATTACTGAAATAAATCACCCTATTTCACCTTTTCCACCTCTCCTTTCCATAAGGGCTAAGGATGTCTATCCATATCTTATTAATAAGATAAACAGGCACTCATCACAAGTAATTCAGCGTGGAAATATTGTTCAAGCAATGGGAAGCAGATACATAAGCCACTCGGGATTCGCTAAGGCTCGATTTTTCTGCATTTAACTTCTGAATTTCTACTCTTCACTCCGCGTATTAGTAGTTTAGATTAGTGCTAGACAAAAACTAATGAAAAGAAATCCACCTAAGCGAAGTTCTGCCTTTTATGCCTGCTGTACTCGTTGCCCACACACTCACTTAGCGGCAGCAGCCACAATTTACGTGTAATTTGTACGTGTAATAGAGCACTGAAACGCACAAGCCAACGAATACAGGCTTAAAGCTTTACTCGACTGCAACATATTATACCCGTTGATTATAGCTCTTGGGTTGACATTATATTAGGGGTGATATTTAAGGTCAAGTTGTACCCGGACTAAACCATTAAGATGTAATGAAAATTACCACTGTGGAGCAAATGGTGCTTTCCCGAATTAACCTCTAAAACTACCTCTTATTTCAAATTCTCTTTTCTTATTTATCAGTACTTACCAGCCCAAGCTGAGCTTTAGTTTGAAATCTACGTCCCTGAGCTGCATTGTGTGAATAAAAAAGATAGAGAGGAAGAACTCAACTTAAAATCAAGCTCCTGACTTTTAGAAAAACATGGTCATGAATAAATACAATCAAGAAGATACTCTAATAAGTGTTAAATTTAAGGAGCACTCTAAAGCTTCTCGTTATTTCACATCTCAAATGAAGTTAATAGGCTTGAGAAAACGTTTTCTGGAGGAAGAATTCCTTATCCTAGGCAAAACTAGCATGCCTTCTGCTCCTACCCCCACAGCCAGAATAACTGAGAAAGTAAAAATCTCGGCACCGAGATGCTGGAAGGGACAGGCTGGATGAGCAGGCTGTGCTCCTAGGCTGCTACGGGGGTTACTCGTCTGCACATGAACTGACACGAGGGTGATTTAGCATTTCTTATAAAATACTCAAATATTAACTTACAAACAGGCAAAAACAACCCTTTTTGTTAACCCTACTGCTGTTCTCAATTGTTTTTCTCCACCCATCGGAAAAGAATGAGAGACAATAGGCTCTTAGGGCAATTGCAGCTTATTTATACATATGTAGTAGCACAAAAGGGCAAGCAGTTAGTCAAGAGTGCAGCGTAGCGGGTTATGCTCTGAGTGGAGGAAAAAAAAAAGAAAAATAGGTAGGAATCTACATAAGCTTTAAAAAAGTAAAATGACTGGGGGGAAAACTACATAGAATCAATATGCTTGAAATAACAGCCTTGATTCGGTGAAGTGTTGCTATTCTGAGTCTCGCTTAAACCCACAATTCAATTACACTGGTATCGTCAGTTTAGATTTTTTTTTTCTGCTTTTTGTCTGTTTGTTTGTTTTGTTTTTACACATCCTCCAGTATAAACAACACGAATACAAGGTACCTGTATCTATGAACACGCAGGATGTGAGCAAAGTCAGGCTTGGTAAAATACCGGGCGCTTGCAGAGCGGGGGTAGAGGGACCCGAGTGCTTGGGGACACCCCATGCGATGACTCCTGCCCCTGCTCGACCCCGTCTGTGTGACACAGCAGGAGACACGCAGCCCCCCACCGCCCCCCACGCCTCACTGGCCCGCTCTTTGGGGGGCACATGTTCTTATATATATAATATATATACATTCGTGCACTAGCTGTCCTGGTACTTCTACAACTATGCCATAGGAGTCATAAAATTTCCTCTTTGAGGAAGAGTATCTAACAATATTTAATACAGCTATGCTCAACGCATATTTGCAAAAAAAAAAATCTTTTTGCAGTGAAAAAACCAATATACAGGACTGCGGGTGCATCCTACAAAAGCCTCGATCCACCCAGCTGCCACCCCTTTACAGTCCACACACCCGGCTTTGCCTCCATAGGAAATCCCAAGAAGGACGGGGATGGGAACACCGGGTCCCGGTGTTTAGGCGGAGTCCAAGGAGATAAAGACCCAGATTATTCACACACATCAAGTACTTAAAGGCCCAGATTTCCCTGAGGATGCAAAGTCCAGGATGAATCCGTCTTTGTGAGCTACTAACTGCTCACTGATCCCTCCATTTTGGTCATTTAATTTCCTTAGTGTCTTCCTGTGTAATAGCTTTTCCCTTGTTATATTTTCAATTGTTTCCAACTACCCATTTATTTGGTTTTTTTTTTTTTTTTTTTTTTTTTTTTTTTTTATTTGGAGCACTTTCATACTAAAATACACACGTTCCTGCTCCATCAGATTGAGAAGCACATTGTGATCTTACAGAAGAAAATATTACCAACTTGTCTTTGTGACAGAACAGTGAGTAGGTATAAAATTGCAATGGTCTCTCTATGTCATTTTTAAAGCTCGCTGCCTGTAAGATGAAAGCCTAATTTGATATTTTTGTAGTTATGTAACAGTTCTAATATTTTGTGACATTTTGTATTGTGACACTATAGATGAAATTGTCATCGGACTGACACCCTTTACTGTTTATTCCTTAATTACAACTGTTAACAACACTGCAGAGAAGCGTGCTAATCTGCCATCACATATTATGAAAACAACGTTATTGTTACAAACACCAACACCCACTCAACAGGATATTTCTAAGATGGCAGTTTCTGTTAAAACTTACCAGTTTAATGGACACTTCAATAGAAAAAAAAAGTTTCAAATGAACTCTTCACATTCCCCTTGAAAATATAAAACAATTTGTAGTTGCAGCTGAAGTGTTTTATTTTGTTTGTTTTTCATGCCAGAGAATCTTCAGCGCATTTTAATCCAGACAAACCCAGTGTTTAATTTCAGAGAGAACAGTCTCTACAGATGTTGGTTCTTCAAGACTACCCAGACCTCCCATAATTTCCAGCTGTAAGTTGTTTCCCTCATTCTTACTGGACTCTGAACTCTCTCAACAGTTAATGGATGAATAATTAAGTTAGGATAATTAATTAAATACACTTTGCAATGAAATGAAAGCTGCCCTTTCAAACAAAACATTTTGGAGGAGTTACTGCCAAAGCAATCACGGCATTCACAAGAACCGTTCCTAAAAAGCACCCCAGTTTAAACAAAAATAGTTAAAATATCTCTGCTACAAAAATAATTCATATCACTTTGTAACACCCACACACTAATTCTCTAGTCGCCCAGCAAAGTCAGTAATTATTAAGCTTTCACATCCTCAGGTGTTGGCAGGGTCAACTTTTTTTTTTTTTTTTTTTTTTACTTCTAGGGCACAGGGGTAGAAGAATGATACATACCCTGTAAATGTAATATCTTTCATCAATCAAATCCTAATATCTTGTTATTAATTAAACAAATAAAAAAATAAAAAGAATGCTTTCTGTTTTCCTTGCTTTAGAAGGATGAAACTTTAGGCCAAGTCACACACCTGCAAAGATTTTCTATTCAATTGGTATTTTCAAAAGCAATATGTACTGGAGTAGTGGAAGGTACAAGAGAATTGCACAAAGAGTGAAACAAAAGATGTCACTTAGTTATGTCAACACAAAGAAAATAGCACTAAGGACAGCCTAAAAGTAACAAAACAAACTATCAAACAAAAACCAGAGACTTGTTTACTTTTTTTTTTTTCCCTCTTTTCCAGTGCATTAGACAAGAAATACAAACCAGGCAGCACAGCAGGGAAAAGCAGCAGTAGTTCCTGGAGCAAAGGGTGGAAGCAAAGCCAGTAGCAATCAGGGAAAGCAAATGTGGACATTCCAGGTGCTTCTTGTACAGCTGCTGGCACTAAGGTTCGTGCATAGGTTTGCAATTCTAAACCAAAGACTATTGTCTGATGTAATCTGCTTGCCCTTCCTGTTAAGGATAAATTCTTCCCTTCTCCCTCATCCACAAAGACATTTGCAGCATTCATGACAAAGAAGAAAGACAGCACATGAATGCGTCTTTACTCATCACACTAACATGTATAAGCAGAACATTCAAAAGAGAATCCCTAAAACTCTTCCCATACTGAAGAGGAAATTGTCCCGCTGTTTTTCCATGCACCAGAGTTCCACTTCTGATTCTAAAAGCCCGTTTGAACTGGATAGTTCTTCCTATCATGAGGAATGATGGTTTAGCTCTCCTCAGGCAAAAATACCGTTTATACTAAACAAATTTACACATTGAGACAGTGAAAGCAAACCATCTAGTATAGATAATTTTCATTTAATGATTTACATTGCAATTTAACAACACGATATTCCATTGCCTGATCAGCATGATATTGCTTACTTAAGTCAGAAAAGAGGAAACAAACCCAGAATGTTTATTTTTGTGACTCTTCTTTTGGGGAGCTTATGTTCTGTTTTGTAGATTTCATTTTCTTAAAGCCAATAGGAGCCTCTGCTCTTCCTAAAAGGAAATGCTCCCATTTGGGAAGGGATTCTTCTACTGACGCCCAGTAGAGAGTCTGAGAAAGCACAAAGAAAAACATTTTAAATTTAACTTCAAAATCCTCATTAGCTTGTTATAAGAACAATACAGTTATGTAATGTGTTTTTTTTTTTTTAATGAGTGAAGCAATTCAGAAAAGAGCTAAGTACTTGCATAAGAAATTTCAAATCTCTCATATCTTACAAAAAAGCACACTGGAAGCATTTCATTCTGTACTGTGAAGTGACTGAATGTGCCCTCTTGTGGTAAGCAACAGATCAGTTCAGACAGTGCCTTTAACAGAATAGTTTCTGTAATGACAAATTTTTCCCAAACCAGCCTTTATACTGAAAAAAACCCCCAACATTTAGTGGAATTTACTTTTGCAACGAAAACAAAAAAGAAATTCTTAATATTTAAAACGTTTCGTATTTTATTTCTCTAGAAAAGCATTAATATAGTTCACAACATTTGTGATATTTTCCAAGTCTTCCCTTCTTTATTTCCCTTTTTTCTTCCTCTTTTACTACTGACAAAATAATTGATTTTAATTTTGGGGCCATGACTTTATGATCTAAGAAATACATTCTGGACTGCCTAATCCTTTCTCCTGATTGCTCTATATCCTTCAGCAATAAATTTAACTTCTATTTTATTTGTAGAATGGACACCTATATATCATTTTTATGCTAGTATTTTGAGAATAACATTATTCGTAGGACTTCAAAAAACAAATACCAAGTCTCATATATATTTCGATTTTTTCCCACAAAATAGCGACCGAGAGTCGGATAAAACCAACAGTTAAAACCAATCAGCAATCTAAACATTTTTACGTAATGAAAAAAAATCATTCAGAAAACGAAACAAAACATTTTTGTAGCAGGAAACTTCTACAGTACTTTATGTATTAACCTTTTTTTTTGTATACTTTTTAAAGTACGTAATGCAGAAGCATATCACAAACTGAACATCTCTGAGAGTATAAGATTCCTGGCTAACCATTTTGATCCTCACTTGTAACTCAGATATATCTATGGCTCTTACAGTTTTACAAAAATATTTTCTTCAACAGATTTACTCAAAGAATCTTTTTTGACAAGCATATGTGCTGTCATACAAAACTACTCTGACTTAGCAAGCTGGGGATCCATTATGGGCTTAACTTTCAAACTATATTAATACAGATACATATATGGTTGAGTGAAATATGCTCAGAAGTGTTTTGGAACAAAGTATGCACAAGAATTTTGTACCATGAAAGAACATTTTCTTTTCCCACTATTTACAGTACTCTCTTAAAAATATAGAAAAGGCTGAAATAGGATCTTCAAATAGTAACCCCCTTCTCTAAGTCTCCACCACTGCTGCAGGGTTTAACAGGTCTCTACCTGTTATGAGCACTTGCTCCATATTCTCCAATTTGGATGGACTTCAGTCTACATCCACTAAGCAGTTAAGGCACCTAACACAGGATGGAGATAAGAATCAAAATTCCTAAGTCCAAAACTGATCCAAAAATCTCTCAAGGTGTCTTCAAAGTCTTCCAGGAGTCTAAAACTCTACTTCTTAACAGAGTGAAAATAGATTCAACCTTCGTAGCTTGGCATATTTCTCAGTATCATCCAAGATGTATGGGTATCTAGAAAAAAATGTACCCTTTGCCTAAAAAAACCTCGATAAACCCACTGAATTGGCATTCTCAGCAAGCATTCTGTCACAGATAGGAATAGGCTACTTAAAAATGTAATCGTGGCCAATATCTTCTAACAGTAACTAAAAAAGTGATGCCTCTCATGTAAGTAACAGCCTAAAGATTAGGACATTTGCTCTGTAGGTATGGAAGCAATGTACAGCACTCCTCTCTTCACATCTTGGCAAGGCTGAATCCCATATACTTCTCCTCCTTTGGTATCACCCTAACACCCAGACTAGTGTGGGACATTGCTTTGCCTGTGGGAAAAAGGCCACTGGGGCCCAATTCCTGCTCCCAGGACTCACTCTCTCTCTCTCTTTTTTTTTTTTTTTTTTCTTTTTTTTTCTTTTTTTTTCTTTTTTTTTTTTCCCTTTCTGTATTCATCATTCATTTGCCTCCAAATACTTTCAGAGAAGAGTACAGAGATTACAACTATAGGGTATGTTGTATCCGGATAATCCTTACTTCTCAGCCTAACCTGTTGTACAAAATTTGTATCTTTAAATAATGCTTTAGGAAGCACGGGTTGAGAAATAAATCAAGTGCTACTGCTGTAGCAGTACTTTTCCCAAGTTCCCATACAACCTGATAAAAGAACTCTGAGAAGTGAGAACTTCTCCATTCATACTGATAAACTGTTGACTCTGAAATGTAAAGATGACAATCCATGGCAAACTCAACAGAGGATGGCCATACAAAATAAATCGAATGGCCCTGGTAAAACAAGTCTGGTAATTTTGATATTTATAATATATGCTTTTATATTTGATTCTCTTTTTAAGTAGAAGTTGATATAGATTTGAAAGCTGCTAAATATTTCCACCTGAGTGCTCCAGAATCTAGGGACCTTGCCCCAGAATTTGGGTTCAGCTTGCAGTACACAAGCCTTTGGCTATACCAGTCACTGGATTTTAAAATCAATTATTTTCACTTTAAGAACATGCTTCAAGGGAAAAAGAAAAAGCAAAATATTTGGTAAACAGGAAATGAAAAGATAGAGTTCTAGGACTTACTTCTAACTTAACAGTATCAGGATGTGGAAGTAAATACACTCTTCCTTGCAGCTTTTTTTCTGCTGCTTCTATATCCTAAAACACACAATACAAAAGCAAACACAAGCAATAAGAAAAAGAAAATACACACTCACGTAACGGCATTTAGATGAACTCACTAAGCCTAAAAAGCATTCAAATAGTAACACCAGAAGTTTGCATCTTTCTGTTTAGTAATATCCTACTGTTTCTAGAGATGTTTTGTGTACATTTTTGATGTAAGAATAAATTTCATTGCCATGTAACACTGTTGCTGCAACACAACACTATTCTCTGTGGACGCTAGGGTAAATTACAGTCAGATTCTGCTCTCTATGATTTATGAAAATAAGGTAGAGGGAACAGAATGATTTTCTCTGTGCTGCATGCAAACCAAAGTATGTATTCTAGCTACTGTAACTGTAAAGTAACTAGGCAAATTATGTGCAAGATCTTTACTCCTCGAGACAAAGATGACTTGCTAATATGCATGCATAACATGTGCACAAAAATGTAGAGCTGCAGCAAGCTGTTCACCAGACAAACTTGGATGACAATGCATCTCACATAGCTTTCTTATAAAAATCAGTATTTGGGTTCTGTGTGTCCGGTAGATATGTGATGGAGTTACAGAGGCCTAAATATATGTGCTTTTTATTATTTTTTTTTCTCTCCTCACAACAAATGAACAAAAAAAGCCAACCCAAAACATCTCTCCAAATCAGCTGCCCTCCCCCTTTAAAGTTCTGACCCATTCTTGTGGGCTTAGTTCCATACCCAAACATTGAAGAGATTGAGTGGTGGGCAGATGAAGAGAGACAGAAAGGGACGTGGGAGTGGGGTGTGAAGAAGCCAAAGCTGAACAGAGTGGAGGGGGAAAGAAAGTATAGCAGATGGCAGAGTTGGGAGCAGAGAGCGGGTGTGAAGAGTACAACAGAAAAACTAAATGAGAGAGGAAATTCCCCAAAGGGACTTCCCAAATATTCACCACCACTGCTGCTGAAAAGAAGAGTGAGATTCTGTAGGAGCATATCCACAAGGGAGACCAAACATGATTACTCGTATTGAATAATAGCCAATCTGAACACACATCAATAAGAAGCAAACAGTGCTCAACTCCAGTTGAAAAAATACAGCCCCAAATTAGTAGAGTATGATTAATAAAAGCAGAACCCAGCCTGTTAGCCGGAAATTCAACTCCAAGAGAGGTACCATTGGTTCACACGAACTACCATGTTCATTTTAACTATCCATTAATTTCTTTCACAGTATGACTATTCTCTTGCACATAATTACAAACTTTATATAAGAAAAAACATTTCTCCCTTTTTAACAGTAAAATGCATATTCTTGTACGAAGCTAAGGGGCGTCTGAGAAAGAGACGACTAATTCTCAGATTTATCCAGATCCTAGGAAGCAGCGTTTGCCTCTTCATGTGGAATAGAAAGAAGTGACCAACCAGGGATAAGTATCGGGGAGAATAAGAGCAAAACTGGAAGCCATTTGAAGACACAATGTCAAAGTCACAGGGGACATAATGCAGACTTAACAACAGACTAAGCAACAAAGTTTTCTGCATATGTCTTTGGAACAGATATGCCATAAATAGCACCACATGAAGCTCATCATCAGTATGGTTCAGAATGAATTTGGAGAAGCTACCACCATACAGAAAAGGAAAGATCAATCACTAATGTTCCTTTCATTTTCTTACATAGATATTCCTTTTTCCTAATTCCTTTATCACAGGAATTTTCACGGTATATACTCAGTTAAGTCATTGGGATGTTTACAATGACAGGAAATGAATGTCTTTCAGGCAAGAAGAGACAGCAGTTGTGCATATATGTTTAGCAGAGAAGGTCACTTTGGCATAGCCTAGATATTGGATGTGTCTTTTTGTTGCTCACTCCAGTTTTTATGTTGTGCAGTCTATTGTCATTCAGAATACTGATTTAATGACAGACAGTGAAAGAAATTTTAGCTGGAAGGTGCAGTATGCTTTAGAAAATAACTGAAGCTGCTGAAAGGTTAGATGGCACCTCTTCCATGTCTACACAACTACTTAACGTTAGGAAAAAAAAAAACCAAAAAAAACTGTCATCCATATGGAAATAATTGTCACCAGTGTAAACTTCTCCAGGAGGGGGAAGAAAAAAAAAAAACAAAACCCAAAAAAACAGGAAAGCTAAGATATTAGATGTCATGGTATTGAAAAATGTAAGTATCTTGCACGAAAACTGCAAGTTCTAGAAGAAAAGTAATTCAAGATCCTTCACCAGAGGTAAAATGGAACTCATGACACATGCATTGCTTTTTGGGGACCAAATTCAACTGTCATTTACATTGCTGGCCAATCCTTCTTTTAGAATTATATCCGTATGAAGGGGAGCAAATCTGGTCTAAATTACCTAGCAAGTACTAAGCATTACATAGCATATTCTTTATATTCTGTGTCTGCTATAAGCTGTTGCACAAGAATATACAAGAATTATTATAAGCAAACTCACCAAATTAGACTTTGCATACCAAGCTAATTTATTGTTTCATGGATACAACATTATATAACTACCGAACAATATATTCTTTTTAAAACAGCTTTCTCTAATCTGCAATATTTTGCTAAAATATCAAGGAAAATATTCTCATAATTTTATGAAAATGTGGAGTATGTGCTTCTTATAATGCTATAATTTCAATTTTAGAAAGTGTTTCCTGTCTTATTGATATAAAAATACAAAACAAAAAATGAGAAATACTTTGCATAAACACCAACTACAACAGATAAAGAAATGTCTTTTTTCTACGATCACATACCAAAACCAACTGATTTTGCTTAAATGCTGGAAAACAGAAATGCAAATAAAAAAATAACACTTCATCATGTCCATGTATTTTTGAGCAGGCCAAATCAACAACTCTCCACATGGTAACTGTGAAATGTACAGTGCCTGGTATCAGTAACAATATTCTGAAGCTGGCACATTAATCAGTCTTGTTTTCAAGCTTCTCATATATTATTCCACAAAGATGTTTTTTTCCTGTTTTATTCTGCTATCAGAAAGCATCTGCAGGAGTGGATGCCTGTTAAAACTAGTATAAAATTAATAGATTTAAACTGATTTATGCTGCTTTATCCTGCAACAGAATTTGTTTTGATACATATGTTTTTGGTTTTTTTCTACAAACACCAACATTTTTGACACTTGAAAAGAACAATTTTGAGGATGTGACAGTAGATGGCAAATATCTGTGTAACTGCAAAAATATTTACACTGTCTGTATATGTCTGAGCTATTGTTAACATTCCCAATACAAGAAGCTTTCAGCAAGCAGGACTGTATCCTGCATTTATTAAATTTGCCTGTGTTAACTTAGAATGCATCTATAAAATACACATTATTTACCAAATACATATTTATGAAATACAATTCTAGTATAATTCTAAAAAAGGAGTATGGAAATGTGGGAGTCATAATACGTGAAATTACTGAGCGGAGCACAATCTATGGAAATAAATAAGTAAATAAACCCCCTAGGCCCCCACTGCCCCCCAGTCTCCCAGTAAACAGCTACATTTGTATACAATTTCCAGGAGTTAAAGTTGGAAAATCTTCTTTGCCACATAAGGCATCTCTGATAAACTGTTCTGTCTTCTCTGCTGTTCCCTACACAGAGCTTCCGTATAAATACAGTGAGGGCACACAAAAAATTTATATCCACCCAAAATGTGAATGCTTTCAATCTTGGCCTAGCTTAATGTGGAGACAAAACGTCTTAACAATACACATTAATCTTTACATTTTCTAGAGTAAAAATTATGGTTTTAAGAAACGTACTACGTGCAATACAGCATCTTTACAAGTAAGCGTTTAAGACAGTGCTTATAAAAGGTGCTGGTTTCTGCTCTTTCCCAAACAGATCACCATTTCTTAGATACACATTGATTTAGTGGTCCGGTGTAGTAATCACTTCAAAATCAGATGCATAAGATAGGTGTCCTAAAACAGATTTTATTGTTCAAGACCCTGCAGACCAGTCTAGATCTTTTTTTTTTTCTTTCATTACCAGCCCTAAAATTTCTGTTGAATTTAACCAGGAAACACAAATTTTACCTGAATACGACAACAGATATCTAGAACAGCGATTATCCTAACTGTCTCATATTTTAGGAAGAACAAGGAACACAAACGCTGCTTTTACAGACTTGCAAGAAAGGGTCTCAAAGTCACTCTACACCTCCTAAAGGAAAAATATCAAACTGAAAAGTTCTTCCACAAGTTCACATGACTGCAGACGGAAAATAATTCCCACCAGGGATTAAAAGCATTAGAGGTTGGTCAGCCCTTATTTCCAACCACATCCTCCTGTCTTGAATCAAAGGGTAAAGGTGCTTTAAGCCTTGTCAGACTCTGAAGTTCTCTCAAGCAGACATGCAATGGCATGTGTTACAGCTCTGCATGTACTTTGAGAAAAGAAAAAAAAGATAGTAGCAGCTGCCACCACGAGGCTCATAAAAGAAGGGCATGTAAAAAAGGTAGTGATGCCACCAGATAAGAAAGACTTGTCATTTAATACTGTTGGTCAAGTTCCAGAAGAAGGAATTGGATATAATGGAATTCAAACAGTAACTAGACAGCAAACACTTAGGAGGGAAAAAAAAATTCTAAGCTACATAATGGTGACATTTCAGTGAGGTTCCTGTAGTTGCAGAAACTTACATTTAGAAGTGCTGCATTCCTTTTACGAGCTGCATCAGCTGCTTGAGTTTGCCATGCCTTCTTAGTCTTTTTGTCTCCCAGATAAGTCTCCATCTGCTGTAGCAGCACCGATCTCTGAGAGAGTCTACAAAGGAAACCATTTCGCTAAGTGGGTAGAACATTTTGCTCAGGAGCTAGAAAAGTAACCTTTTTACCTTACCCAGTTCTCTTCAAAACTAGGGGGCTAATTAAGCCGGCTGTAGGGTGGGTGTGCTGGGGGAGGAAAAAGGTACAGGCAGACACCACCTGCTGAGCTCCTATGAGCTGTAGCGTTGCAGCCAGCAGCCCTCATATGCTAAGGTGCTTGGAAGCACTTAATCCCCCAGAAGAGGAGAGATAGGGTGGGAAGGGGTGACTTGATCAGTGCTCCACTTGCTCACTGGCAAGTACTAGTTGTTACCAGAAAAGCAGATTTTTCTGAGTCATTATTGTATATGCTTCACAGCCTGAGTTTACAGGGCAACACAGAAGCGATTCCGTAAGTGAGTTTGGAGTGGCAGAATCCAATTATCTTCCCGAAACAGGAATTTAGCAGTGATAGGGGGTTAACAATAAAAGACATTAGGCAGGTACTACCATTGGAAATCAAAAAAAAAAAGCCCATCAAACTGCCCCTAAAGGCACTCGAGGGTGATAATTCCTACAGTTCACGAAGAAAGAGTGCCACCTCCTGGAGCACCAGCTCAGGTACCACTGGGCTCTACAAAAGCCCCGATTTCACTGTTTTTCGAGACTAGCAATTACATCTTAGGAGATGACACCACGACACGAAGTGCTGTGAGGTTCCACAGCACAGAAACGACGACTTACATCTCTTCATGTTTCCTAGCAAGGCGAATCTCTTGAGCCACATACCGTGTCGTTTTCAGCTGTTCACCAGTTTTGCCACTCTGCAAAAGGGAAACCAAGTGAAATTAAAATCCCCCAAGCACATTCACAAACATCTAATTTTTGCTCTTAAAGAAATCCATATGTTAAAAGTTTGGATGCATTATATTTATATAATTTATTAGCTACCTCCTTAAAAATCTGTATATTAATTTTAACGCTCTCTACAAAGACATTGTGGCATTATGCTTTGAATACGAATGTGATACTAACACAGTTTTATGAAAATTTTGGTAATAATTTGAAGGAACCAAAACTTGATTTACAAGTTTCAGATTTAATATAACAATGTCTCAGTTGCTTATGACTTGCACAAATAAACTATGCTCTTGCAGAACTTGTGTAGTACCGTTTTCGCCCGTGCTTTTTGCCTCACATCGTGGCACTCACAGCACCAACATATAATTCCTGCAATTACCATTTGTAGCTACTTTGTGCAGACGCAGGGCCTTGTTCTTAGCGATCTATGCTTAAATACACATCCAATTAAGCTAAATAGCTTAAGTTATTAAGCTAGTTTGCTATTTTTTGAGCTCTTGAAAAACTACGTGAAAAACCGAGCTCAACTGTTGAGTACTGATTTAACAGTTTTACTTATATTTTACTTTTTTAATGAAACCAACCAGCTGCCTGCTCTGCATGTGTATTGCAATTCTACAGTGCTTTCCAAGAAGCTTGAACATCTTTCAGTCAGTTAACTTTCTCTACCTCAGAAGCAACTGCATTGTTACCACATAATCAACCCAAATTAAATAAATAAGTCACAACATTTTCACGACGTTGAAGAATGGAAGAGTTTTACCCCTCCAAAACATTAGTGAAGGACTCCCAATAGGGTGTCACAGGCAGCTTTGGAGCAGGTTATCTGTACTTGCAGCGTGACTAAGCACCCTTGCTTAGCCAGGGGCAAGCTTTTCACTAAACTGCGAGGAATTCTCCCCAGTCGCGCCCCACCTAACACTGCCCAAGATGGAGCCATCCCCTGTGGGCTCTTCTCTCCGCTTGGGGACAGCGGCGAAGGGAAGTGTGACCTCGAGGGAGCCTGAAACAGGCGAGGGGCGGCGGGCAGGGCGGCAGCGCGGCCCCTCTCCCCTCAGGAGGCGGCAGCGCGAGGCGCCCACCTCGAAAGGGCGGGAAAAGGGCGGCCATTGGGAGGGGGTCGGGGGTGGGGGGGGTGAGCACGTGCCTGCCGCCTGGGCGCGGGCGGAGCCGCCCTTAGCCCTACCATTGCCAAGGAGGGAGGGGGGAGGGATGTCAAGGAATGTGCCATTCCGTGGAGCCATTCCGTGCCGCAGAGAAAGTACAGAAGAGCAAACAATAATTAGAATAAAAACCCTTTACCTTCATTCTCGTTGCCTTAGAAAAGCGAGGCAATCACCCGCCATAGCCTCCACGTCAACCTCCTTTCCTTCCCCCCCCGCTCCGGCTGCCATGGAGATGGCCGGAAAGGTAGGGCTCAGCCTTACCCTCTGATTGGTCCCGATTCTCCTCAGGAGGCGGAACCAGACCGGGTCGGGATCCGCCTTAGCAATCAGGATTGGAGGAGCGAGAAGGGGCGGGACCAACCATAGCGGGAGGGCGGGCCGCGAGGGGCGGTTGGTGGGCGGGGTCTCAGTGACCGTTGGCCGCGGGGGCGGGGCAGGGGCGTGAGGCGGAGCCGCCGCCTGAGGCGGAGCCGCGTGGCCCTGCGCGGGGCCGAGCTGGAGTTAGAGGAAATAGCGGCATGTTCGAGTTCTTCGGCCTGGGAAACACTCCTGCAAGTTTAGGGTGCTGTGATCTTGTCCTCTACGAGAGTAGGATCTCCTCCAGGCTTTTAAAGTGGAAGATTTGCCCAGGCTGTCTCAAGCCATTTATGTGCAAACTTTAATCAAAAGCTGCTTTTTAAAAGACACAACTCAGTCCTGTTTGGTTTTTTTTTTCTTTTTTTCCTCCGTGAATATTTTGTCTTCACAAAAAAAAAAAAAAAAAAAAAAAAAAAAAAAAACCCTAAGCCAAATGCAATTGAACAGCTCATCTCCATTTTCCTTTTAAATATCCTCTTTAAACGTTCTCTTATCCTAGTGTTCAAGGCATCTCACAACAAGCTCTTAATGCAGATCGGAAGAGCCTCTTTCTTGAGATTCTTCAGGTCTTTATCTCTCTTCTGTTTTTATCATTCTCCAATTTCATATTTCTGCAATAAACTTATATGAATTCACTCTGTGACATAAGTAGGAATTTTATGGTATTTTATTCTTTCTTATAAGTAGGAATTCTCGTCATCCTGCTCCTGCTTATTTCCAAATTCAGGCTAAATACTACTTAAAATGTTACCTCTGTGATATGAAGACTTTTCAATAAATGATAGGGGGAATAAGAGTCCATCCTCATTTCTAATGGTGTGGAAAGCTAATGGTTACAGGCTTGCTGAATTTAATGGAAAACCTAAGTGTTTCACATGCTCCACTTTCAGCTCTACAGATTCACTTGAGTAGTAGTGATCTTTTTCTCTTTTTTTTTGGTAGCTTTTAATAATTTCAGAAGGCCTACAGACAAATTGAAGTTTGGTTTACATAGGCCACTATATATGCTCTTTGTAGTGAGAATGAAAAGATAATTTTACTCAAGCTACAGATACTATTGATTGCTCAGTGCTGCACCAGCAGGGATGGGATGGAAACCCTAATTTCCTAATGAATCCTTTATGTGACAGTGGATAAAACACTCTAGTTTATAGCTAATGAGCATTTGCTTTTGAATTCTGTATTTTTCATCTGTATTTGATTTTTCAATATTAATGTTCTTCCTTATTAGAAGTGCAATATAACCTAGTTCAATGCTCAAGTTGTCACAAATATAAACTTCAAAGTTTTTATAACAAGAAAACTAAATATGCATTAAGGATTTGCTGTTCACACTGAGATACTGGCACTCTGGCCCCAGATTTTTCTTATCCCCACAATTTGGTCTTCAAAAATTTGGGATAAAGGGTCTTACAAGAGAAATTGGTGAATTGCAACACTAGGTGGCACTTAAACACAGCTAACGAGGACTCAAATATTGCAACATGCAAAAACAGTCAAACACATTCTGTTCTAACATGCAGTTAATTATATCCTCAAAGTGATGTCTTGGATTGATATTACTAAACAAACATGTATAAAATGTAATTACAGACAAGTGAAATAAATACTGTAGACTTATAATTGCAAGATATGTTTTTTGCTTGTAATATGCTACACCTGTGCGCAGTTTATATAGCTAGTATTTTATTTTGTCATTTTTACTCACATTTAGTATGGCTCAGTTTAGGTTTATGTGCTTCTATTTACTGGTATCAATTTGTGCCATATGTCAGCTTTTAAAAATAGGTTGCTTTTATGTATTTGAATTTTAAAACAGGAGTATTTCAAAGGGAAAACAATAGTTCACAAAATCACTTCAAAAACTTTTTAATGTGCATATGTTTTAGATTGTTTATTTCAGTTTGTCCCTCAGATTTTCCTGCTATCTGCTGCAGAGGTGGTGGACAGCTTTTCGGTCAGTATCCAGGGCCCATACGAAGTTACAGGTTAAAAAGACAAAAGAGAGTAAGGAAATATCCTCACAGGCTGTGAGGCACCAAATGCAGAAAGTGCAGAAATTTCCTTTTCATTCTTGTTTTTTCCTCACCTTCCAGAGTAGATCTCAACCAGAGTTCATCTCTAATGCTGGCAGGTCCCAGGCCATATTCTCTTCTTTCCACCTGGAACTGGAGATCCATATTTTCTGCAAGGGGCTGGAAATGAAGGCTGATGTTGCTGGGCATCCATCAGCCTGTGCAAAACAAGTTGGCCAAACCAGGAACACTGATACAAGTCCGGAACAAGAGCTGGAAAAACCTGTGGAAATAGAAAGTGTAAAACTATGGATCGGGCCAGGACTAAGCAGGCCTAACTTAAAAAAAAAAAAAAAGAAAAAAAAAAAAGTGGTAGAAGCATATAAGGAAGAGGAGAATATTATTCCTTTATTTTCCTTTATATTTCAAATAGAGATTAAAAAGCCTGATAAATAAGATGAAGCCAAGAAAATCAGCATTCAGGTGCGAATCTGCAATTTTGCTTTCTTTAGGGAAAGATGTTTCTAGGTGCTGGAACATTCTTCCCAGGTAGTAGCAGATACAGCCATGAAATGCAGCCTAGACAAAACCAAGAGTTTCCTGGGGCACCCAATTCGCAACAAACAAGGGAATATAATACATGCCCGGACAGGTCTCTTCCAGCCCCGGTTTCTATGGCATAGCTTGCTCTTTTTGAAGACTTAAGCAAGTAGTTTGGCCCTTGAGTAATAATATTATGCCTTCTCTCTCAAAAAAAAAAAAACAAAACCCTGCAGTCCTCAACTGACTTTAACAGATATATAGGTAGTAGAATGTTTTACAAGTAATTATAAAAACTATTTACAGTAATTAGCTTGAACTTAATTGCGTCTCTAGCATATAGGCTGGTAAATCACAGCTTCATTTCAAGCAATTCCTGTTTACCCTAAACCAAACACAGGAAACGCAGTAAAAACAAACCCGTGAAGAACCACTGTTGTCAGGCCCTGCTTTGACATATATAGGATGGGGATGCTTAGTGTTACAAGCAGTGCTTGACTTACCAGCATGGGCTACACCTTGCTTACCTTATGGACCATGAGTTTGCTCCTACTGCCAGGAACAAGAGGGTGTACAGGAACCAAAGGGATAGAAACATTTTTGAACCAAGTATTTTTTGCTCTAACGAGAGAGTTGCATCGGATGGAATATAATGAGAGGGGAGATTTTTCTAGACTCCCTCCCTAGTTGGTGAAGGGAAGAGATCCTCTCTTGACGGCGATTCAGAGCATGAACGTTGAGGGCTGAACATTTGGCCTTGCTCTGAATGGCTTTTAGAGGTACCTTTTTCTCTTGATGGGCAATGTAGGCAGCTTTACCTGCCCTTTTTCACATGAATCCACTTATTTCAGTCCACCAGCTGCTTCCCAGTGCTGCTTTGAACTGGTCTAGTTACCTTTAAGGCCCCTCATGCTCGTGGATGTTACCAGAAACACCTTCAGTTGCAGGCCTGGGTGCAAGCAATGCTATTGCTGTCCACTCTAGCTGACAAATTGTCTTATCTTACAATGATGATACTTCTGTGGAGGCAAAACATTACTTGGCATTTTTATATACACCATTATATGACTGGCAAGATACCTCATGCTAATAGCTTGACTTTTATTGTAAGCAGAGGTAGAAGGAATAACACCACCTTCATCATTCTAGCACAGTTTCTTTATGAACACATCTCCCAGCCATACAAATCTGACCAGAAATGTTCTATTTTCTTTTATTTTTATTTCAGTTTAGATTTTTGAATGCTTTTATTACAAGTTTTTTTCAATCCTTGGGAGAAATTAGAGAAGCAACAGTACTTCTCTTGTTGCCTAACACCTACATTTACTGACAATAAAAATAACTGAACTTGCACAAAAAGCCACTTTCTAATAAACCCTTTTACTAGGTTGTTACGAAAGTTGAGTTTTTCATTTTTTACAAAAAAACACCTCTTTTTAAAGAAAGGTCAGTCAATCTTTCTAGAAAGATTTAATAAATGACTTCTTCCCCTTGCTAAATTTAGTCTTTTGTTGAATTGTTTCAATTCCTATTAAAGCTTCACAAAAATGTGCCTTCTATTATATTTCTCCTAATAGGTTTCTCAGCCTTATAACTATAATAAATTTGTCAGTCTAGCTTCACTGAACACTGGACTTCTAAATCCTACCAGAACAGATTATAAATGTAACCATTTCTAAACCCTTTCAAGAAGTTTTACCCTTTCTTTCAACACTTTTTATGTTCTCAGCAATTGAGTGGAAATAACCTTTCAGAGTTATTCTTTAAAACCTCTTTCTGGGTGATAGCGCAGTCTAGTCCTGTTATCAGTCAGTCCGTCAGCAAACCTGGGTTCTGTTCCCGCACCTGCCACTGTGGATTCGCAGTCTGAACCGACTCACTTAAACCAATGTTTTCTCAAGTGTTCATTGAGAGGAACTGGCCAAATAGACCCTATAGGGCCTGATTTTTCAGACTAGCTGAGTGCTTAGAGCTGCAATCTAAATTTTTCTGAGTGGTATAGCAGATATTAAAATTTTATAAATATAAATATAAATATATATATATAAAAACATATAATTTTTACTTTTTTCCTCCTGTTTGCTTGTTTTTCTTCTTCTTTTTTTTTTTTGTTAGGAGAGAAGTTAATACTTTTTCGGATACAGAAAGTACTGTCTCTGTAAACAGTTCTCATTAGGATGTTTTTCAACGTTACCTTAATGGATATAAACAAAATGTAACAAAAATCTTTGGACCATTAATAACAGTGCTAAAAGGAGAGAAGAAGAAGAAAAGCAAACATAACCTAAA